GCACGATCCTGACGCATCATTGAGCAGCTAGTATTCGTTTACTTGCATGGGATCAAGCTCAGCTGACTACTTGTGCTCAGGCAATAACAGTCACTATTTGCCTTGTCCTTGGATTGTCTCCCCGCTGGACTTCTGAATCATTTCCGAAACATCATGAATTGGATGTACAAACGGATTTGAATGTTATTCAAGCATTACCGAAGGCCGAGAAAACGTTATGTAACTATTCTAGTCAAGAGTGGCTGTTTTGTTAGAGTGGTGAGACTTACTGCAAGGAATCTCGACAGGTCTGAAACCGGGTCGGACGGATTGCCTCCCTTGAACTCAATTAATACCCGACTCAGAAGGCCCTTGCCTATTGCTCGTCCTTTTGCAAAATCTAACCCTTCAGCTATAACCCCGAGTGTTCACAAGTCCAATTTCCACCAAGAGGCTGAAATTGCACCTGGACCCCACGATCAACGCGGAAATCCTGTTTTATAGAACCTATAGCCCCTCCCCACGAAGGCGCCCTGGTTCAGCAATTGCTCTGGTCTCGTAGGAAACGAGACAGAACTGATCCATCACATTTACTTACTCCCCTTCCGAGAAACCCTTGTTGATATATTTTCCGTGTGGTTGTACCGCTTATTGTGCGACCGTGGAGGAATAAGCCAACGCTCCATCGTCATCACCACCGGGTCTGTGCTTTTTAGATGGACCCAGAGTGGAGTTGATTCGACAGCCGGCCCTGGCCGTATCCAGGCTCTGAAAACTCTAGCACAGATCATCAAGGGGCCTCTTTCCTTTAGGCTTCGAGATCGAGAGGCTTCTCCAGCAAGAAATGACGGCCTGAACTACCGAAAGTATGCCAGAGACCTGATTCAGTACCTGGGCCACTGGCCAGGTACATGGCGGTGCTAGTTGGCAGCTACCTAATCATGGCGTGGAACTAAGTTGAACCCCAATCAGGAATTGCCAGCACACCCGCTAGGGATTGGGCCATTAATACGACGAAGCTTGGACTAGCGTTGGTTTCTATATATATATGTCTTTTCCGACGGGGCCATGATGCAATACATATGGAGTGGGTTTGATATCATCATCTTAGAGTACTGTGAAGCACAGTGTCTATCTCTAGTGGAGGGGAGAGCGAACGACTAGGAAATTCGTTCGATGGATGATTTCATTGCTATAACTTGATGAGGCAACAGGGCTTCGGAAGACACAGAGAGACATGAATTGCCTAAATAAAAACCAATTGATTCACCTTGGGTAGACAATTAGTTTGTTGTCCAACCAACGGGCCATCTGAATCATCGTAGTCTATCTGTGCGACCTTTTGTACATTGAAGGTGGGAAGGTAAGGCGTGTGGTAAGAATTATCTTGGCCTGCAGTGTTGTGAATCACGGCCATCGGCGGGTCAACCATCCTTCTTAAGTGCCTGCGGCGAACATCAGAGACTGAATCTGGTGCAGTTGGGGGTGGTAGTGCAGATCCAGAGAATCAGTCTATTTCATCGATCGGGAGGGTGGATTTTTTATTTTTTTTTTTGGGTGCCCGGCGTGACTGACAACGCGCTCCTCGTCGATTTTCCCGATCTTTTCCCGTTTCAATTTCCCTTCCTTTTCCACCCTCCGTCGCCCGCCTCACAGTTAGCTGTTGTTCATACAACTCAGACCGCTGCTACCCGGCCTTGAATCCTCCGCGGGAGCCATTGGGCTTTCTTGCTCTGCTCCATGACTGCTACGAGCCTCTAGCGGTGCTCGTTGCGGTCTGCAGGGCGCTTCCTGGTACAGGTAAGATCCCGTCGCTGCAACTGTCTTCCCGATTTCCCAGCCATCGTAATTCTGCGACGGCGTCTCCTTATTCGACCAGCCACTGCCTTCAAAGTCCCCTCTCACCCTCAATCTGCGTGGCTCGCTCTGAACTGCTTCCACGCGCCCCATTACTATTCTGTATTCTGTCGTGTTTCGAATGAAAATACCCACTGTGCAGCATTCTTTGTGCTAACCCATCGGACATACACAGCGGCGGGTTCATCTTTTGTGTGCTGGATAGTGCTAGATACTGCTGGAGCTGTGCATATTTCTCCTGACACGCTGTCAAACCCCACGTCTGGTTGCAGGGCTCTCGTTCCTGGTCCCATTCTGTGAGGGCCGAATCCCAATTCGCACCCACGTTGTCGTCGCATATCCCGTTTCAGCATCCTCCATCTTCAGCGGTGTCTCATCGCAATCGCGCCGACTTTGACGAGACCTACGACGTTAACGACCCTACAACATTTACGACCCTTTCACCGCAACGCCAGCAGCAGGCTGCTTCCCGTGTCCTTCCTGACTCTACCCATCATCCGTCACTTCGACCCTCGAGCGCTGTCGGAAGCACTCGTTCATTGCGGAGAACAGCCAGACTTTCCCAGCGACCTCCGTCCGTATATGGTTCCGGAAGGCCATCTCACGTAGAACAGACTATACCGGTGGTCGTGCGACCCGTTTCGGAACACCAAAGTGGTCTCGCTGCTCTGCGTCCAGCACTGTCTGAGGCGCAAACCGAAGAAGACGACGAAGAGGCCGACTCGGAAGAGGAATCCTCCCGGCGACCAGGTGAATCGTACTGGCCCCATAGGACAACCAGTGTCTCCCCGCGCACCGCGTCTGCTATTCTCTGGACCTTGGAGGAAGCACTCCGCAAACCAATTCCGTTTACGTTAGACTGGGAAGAAGTGAATGCGCCCATGTCTGACGTCGCGGGTGCCCCCGGTCCGTCAGGCTTTGGAGCCAATGGCCGTACTCAGAATGGATCTACTCGCGCCACTCAAGGTCCGGTCCCTGTCAACCCACACCCTGCAAGTGGTTTGCGGACGCCCACGGATATCATGAGGCAACGTCGGGATCGAGAGGCTCGCAAGAAAGCAGAGCAGGAGGCGAGGGATAGGGAGCAGGATGACATCGAGCGCAGACAGCAACAGGAGCAGAATAGGCCCGGTCCAGCTTATGCTGCTGGCGTTGCCGGTGACAGAAACTCGCAACGAAGGACGCAAATCCCAGAGCGGTCTTCCACAACCACGAAACGACCAGAGCCTCAAGTCTCTGCGTCTACCCCTGGAACTGGTGGTGCACATGGACCGCTGAGGCCGACTACCTCGGCTGGGCAGCCCAGTGCATCTCAACAGCCTCAGGCTGCCCCGCAGAGCTCTGCCGGGTGGTCCAAGCAGGCAGCTCAGGCGGCGTCTGAACAGCCAAGTTCCCAAGCCCAACAACAATCTCGTAGAATTCCGTTTCCTCACGCCTTCGAACGATGGGAAACACTCTCGTCCCACTGGGAGGGTTTGACTGGTTACTGGATCCGCAAGCTGGAGCAGAATAATGAAGCGCTCGAGCGCGATCCTCTTAATCAACAAATGGCGCGTCAAGTGACGGACCTTTCTGCCGCTGGAGCCAACCTCTTCCATGCTGTTGTCGAGTTGCAACGCCTGCGGGCCTCATCAGAGCGGAAGTTCCAGCGTTGGTTCTTTGACACTCGTGCTGAACAAGAACGCTCAAAAGAGTTGTTAGCGGAGCTCGAGAGGCAGGTTAGGACTGAGAGACAAGCTCGGTCTGATGCTCTCACTTCACTGCAAAAAGCAGAGAGCGACAAGTCACGCGCCGAAGAGCTGCTGAAAGAAATGCGCCGTGAGTTGCAAATTTCTAAAGACGAGGCCCGCCGCGCATGGGAAGAATTGGGTCGGCGCGAACAAGAAGAACGCGACCGCACTACATCCCTCCGGAATGGAGAACCTACATTAGTCGGAGGTGTACAGGTCGTACCGATGATCCCAGGCCCCGCCAGTCGACATAATACCAATCGCCCGCCAACCCGAGAAAGCCCATACGCAAGTGGTGAGAGCGCCGCGAGAACCACAGCGGTGACGGAAGGTCAATACTATGAAACTCCTGCATCCCCAACCGGCACCGATCCTTTTGTGGAAGGGCATCGGCCCATTCAGGAACCTCCATCATCATCTCCGGAAGCTCAGAGACAATATCCTGGACATTTCTATGAGCAGGGTGCCGCATATCCAGCTCGGCCAACGTCTGAGAATGATGACCGCTCCTACGGCCCCAGCGTTGCTAGTAGCGAGCAAGGAGAAGAAGAGGCCGGCAGCAGCTACCGCCGCAACCCGCAGGGCCAGCCAACTGCTTACCAACCTGCCATGTCCGAAGCGAGCGACGAGTATGAGCATGGGTCAGTAGAGGAAGGCGGATACCCACCCAGTTCTATGCCCACAACATCCGGACCTCTCTATGGAGGCTACACCCAGTCTGTCGATTATAGCGGCTCGGGATGGGGTGTAGGGACAGGTTGGGAGTCCGTAACCCCGCGCCATCGTCATCCTACGCGCCTCAGCGATGTAATCGAAGAAGAGGAACCACGGACGACTCCCAGTCGGGCCAGCTTAGCCAGTCGAAGTGTACAGTGAAATACTCCCGACTTCCTCCGTACATACCATCTTTCAACAACCTTCGGGGGCAAAAGATGCATTTGCTTCATTTCTTTTCGTTTATACCAAGTCTCGCATTGTCTTTACGCCACGAACCGTGTCAAAATACCACCTGTCGTTTTCGCTTCATCGGTTTCTCTCCTTCTTACTTTACTGTTCCATTATATTAACCTACGTGCCCTTGTTCCTTCGGCGACCATACTTCCCGGCGAGCAATAAATTGCATAGCAAGCATGTACGACTGCTCCACTCGCGCAGTGCATTTGACAGGTCCGGCGTCATTGGACAGGAGGTCGGGTGTAATATTTGTAATTTTACAACTCTTAATGTCTTCTCAAACTATGGATATAGAGCCCTACGTGTGGTTTACATCCAATTCTATAGATGAATCGAAAAAGTCCTATAACCCATTAGCCCGCACCAAAATACACGTGACACGGAAGTAATCCTCGTATGCCTAAGGCGCAGACACTAAACCCCATCCAGAAAACCAATCCTCCGGACCGAGCAGCTGTCTCGAACATCCAAACCTCCGCCGCGGACTCCGAAAACCACACCTACCTCAAACGCCAGAAAACTCCGTGCACCAGCCCTCCCCCTCCCCAACCCGGGCAAACAACAACAACAACAATGGCATCAACAATGAGATCCATGAGCCGGATCCTCACGCGGACCTCTCGCTCTGCCCTATCCCCAATCGAACACACCACCGCAAAGACGACCGGTCTCTTCTCCGCGAACCTCAGAGCAGCAACCAACATCAATAGCCGCAGTAGCAGCAGCAGCAATGCAGGACTACTACTCCGCCGCTCTTTTTCGACCTCTCCGGCTTGTCTTCGCGCGCGCACAATGGGCCAATTGAAGGCGCGGAACTCGACGGGTCCGTTCTCGTGGAAGGCGGCGCTGCTGTTCGTTTTGACGGGTGGTGGTATGATTATTTATTTCCGGGTTGAGAAGGAGCGATTGGAGAGGAAGCGCATTGCGGAGATGAGTAAGGGGGTTGGGAAGCCGAAGGTTGGAGGACCGTTTACGTTGAAGGATTTGGATGGGAAGGAGTTTACGGCGGAGGATTTGAAGGGGAGGTATAGTTTTGTGAGTATTCCTTCCTTACCTTCTTTTTTTTTTTTCATGGGGTTGGGATTGAGGCTAATTTGTTCATGGTTTTGGGGGGTTAGGTGTATTTTGGATTCACTCACTGCCCTGATATTTGCCCCGACGAGTTGGACAAGATGGCCGAGATTATTGATAAGGTGAAGGAGGCTACGAAGGGCGAGAATGTTTTCTTGCCTGTGTTTATTACTTGTGACCCTGCCAGAGATACGCCTGAAGTGCTGCGCGCTTATTTGAAGGAGTTCCATCCTGATATTATTGGGTTGACGGGAACGTATGATGAGGTTAAGCATGTTTGCAAGCAGTATCGGGTGTATTTCAGTACCCCGAGAGATATTAAGCCTGGTGAGGATTATTTGGTCGATCATAGCATCTATTTCTATCTGATGGGTATGTTTTTCTTTTCTTTTCTTTCTTTTCCTGCAGCTGGGGGAAGCTGAAGCTGACTTTTGTTTGTTTGACAGATCCCGATAACGACTTCGTCGAGTGCATCGGTCGTCAGGATACGCCTGAGTCGGCCACGAGGACGATCATGGAACATATCAATGACTGGAAGCGCGAGGGCAAGCCCCTTAAGAAGGACTAAGTGGTGATGGTCTCTGCCTGCCTCGATGTGTATCATAGACAATACCCTACTCTGTGATTGTAAAATAAGACTGTCAATTAGCATTCTCCACCCGTCACCTTTGATTGTCTTGACCACCACTCACCTACTGACTTATATCCCGTTTCACCCCTGCACTAACTTCCCCTCCGCATCCCGATCCCTATTCGCCCTCCACTCCCCCTGCCCATCCACAAACACCTCTTTCTTCCAGATCTCTGCTTTCTCCTTACACAGCTCCAACACCTCCTCACCAGCCCTCCACGCCGCGCCGCGATGTCCCGCACTAACCGCAATCACAATGCTACTCTCTCCAATCGGCACGTCTCCGAGCCGATGCCCAATTACAACACCAAGCAGCTCATGTTTCGTCACCGCGTCCTCCGCGATCTTCGATAACGTCTTCAGCGCGAGAGGCGGGTATGCGGTGTAGCTTAGTTGCGCGACGGGGCGGTCTTCGAAGGAGTTGCGTGTCGTGCCGAGGAAGAGGACGTTTGCGCCGGCGTTGGGGGAGGAGATCTTGGATAGTGCGCTTGTGGGATCGAGGGGGTGGTAGGTTAGCGTGATGTGGGTGTTCAGGGTGGGGTTTGTGGTTGTGCGGGGGTAGGTTTGGGGGTCGAGGTGGGGTGGTATTTGGTCGGTTTGGGTGGTGGGTGTTGTGGATGACATCGTGGGTGTTGATTTGATATAAATGCGAGGGGTCTTGTGTGGGATATATTGAGGTTGATGGGCTCCAGTTGTGACTGTATTTGTTCCGCTTGTGGGGAGCGGATGGTGTTTACGAAGTGGATGCTGACTTGAGGGGTATAATGAAGAAGGTTAGCGTATGTTGATACAGCCAATGCGATGAGACTCAGTGGAATGCCATACAGAATGAGAATGTGAATGCGAAATGTGCCAGCAGCTTTGGGATGTTAGATAGCGGGCGTGCCTTATCTCCCGCCGAAGATGCTGCGGGGAGCTGGTCCCTGATGGAAGGCGGTGAACACAGCTCGGCTTTACAGGCGCAAACGGGCCACGAAAGCGGTTAGCGGCTGTCGGACATAATGTTTTCTTGGTATTTAATGCCGGCAGAATGCATACAACTAATGTAATTGTATGTTGAGACATATAAGTCATCCCTGCTGCTTTGTAGACGACGGTATATCGTTTTGATCTACTTTGTTTTGACATTGTATCATATAAGCCCGTCTGCCAGATTTTTTTACTCGATTCACCATAGCATTATTTAGCTTGGTACCAGCTTCCTTATTGTCATGTCTGCATTCAGACTCGGATAAAACATCAGTCTGTGGGGGTGGGGAAAGGGAAAGGGACTGCTGTCACTTTCAGTCAAATCTACATGGTACAGGACTGGGTGCGTCGATTCCTTGAACTGGCGTCCAGTGATATTGTCCGCGTCAAAGCGTCTCCCAACGCGGGGACTTAGATGACATGTTACTCTTCTGGGTTAGAGGGACAATAATTTAAGGCATGCCCTGCTCCGCTGTCTAGCAAACAGGGACGGAGTTGGGCTTTCAGCCGGCTTGACCGCGTCATCAAATGCGGGGGTAAGCCTTTTCTGTCGCAGGTCCACCCTTTACTTTGCAGGCCGCAGTGCAAATAGGAAGGCGAAGAAAGACTATCTCCTGATGTCGGGCACGGCCCAATAGGGTCAATGCTTATCTTGTGCAACTCGTCTGTTCCCTTGCCGGTGGAGATGAAACAAGCACGCGGAGCCGTCCTGCACTAAAGGGTCAGCATGTCCCGATCAACCTCACGCGTTCAAAACACTGTCAGGCCTTCTCTAATCTACCGCCAGACCTTCGGCGGTGGGATAGTATATCTTGATCAACTGGCATCTGACCCGAACAGTGCTTGCCATGCAAAGGGGGTATGCAAAGTGCAGCCAGGGCAAAAGGCGAGTAGGACGTGTACGGGGATAAAGTCGGACTTCGCACCATCTCCGTTATCCGATGTCCGTAGGAGCACCCGTGTTTCCCGCATGAAAGGAAGGATATTACGGAGCAGCAAAGCTCAATCCTGGGGAAAAGTGGGGAAAGGGGAAAGCAGATCTTAGAGCAAATGGAGTTCGGGGACGAGGGGCGTGAAAAGCAATGGGGAATATAAAAAAAGCTTGCATCACCCCGGCCAACTTCAATTGACAATTAAGTTTCAACCATCGTGATTCAAAGCAATGAAGCTCCTAATTTGGGGCCCCTTGCTGGCCAGTGCCGCATATGGCCGCGTTATCGGCACGAGGACTCAGTCGAAAAGCACATCGAGCTCATCAGCCGCTCCAGTGCAATCACCCACCGTCTATATCGACACATACGAGAGCACGGTGCAGGGCAATAGATCACAATATATCTCTTCGGTCTATAACTTCAAGGCAATCCCCTTTGCCTCCGCCCCGACTGGAGCTTATCGTTGGCGTCATCCGCAACATGTCAGCGGATGGACGGGCGTCCGTGACGCTACTGAGTTTGCCCCAGACTGTCCCCAGCCCGGGTCGAGCTATTATAGCGAGGACTGCTTGTATCTCAACATCTGGACTCCCGACACGGCCACCCTCAACGACGTGCAAAATAACACGGAAACCGGGATCGGCGTGGTACCCGCCTCGTCCAGCAGCAAGCTTCCAGTCTATGTCTGGTTCTACGGGGGCCGCTTTGGCTCGGGATCGAGCAGCCAGGCCCTGTACGACGGAGCCGGTCTAGCCGCCAAGGGGGTCGTAGTTGTGACCGTCAATTATCGACTGGGCGCACTGGGCTTTTTAGCCCACCCGGAACTCAGTCAGAACTCGTCGAGCGGCACCTCGGGGAATTATGGCTTAGTTGACCAGCAAGCGGCGCTGCACTGGACGAACGAGAACATCGCTGCCTTCGGGGGCGATCCAACCCGCATCACTATCGGTGGCCAGTCAGCAGGCGCCGCTGCCGTGCTCGATCATCTGAACAGTCCACTTGCGGACGGGCTTTTCGAGCAGGTGATTGCCGAGAGCGGAGCTCATTACTCTTCCGATCCCCTGATCGGGAGTGTGGCCGAGGGGTACCGCCATCTCGCCGTCGCGGAGGCGCAAGGGACTGCGTATCTCACCAGCCTCAACCTCTCAGGGATTGCCGCAGCCCGTGCCGCTCCAGTCGAGGTCTTTCTGGCCGGCGCCGACGCGAGTGACGTTACCTACGTGAATACGGTCTTTGCCAACAACTCGGTCTATATGGAGCCCCCGCTGTTCCGTCCCGTCCTGGACGGCTACGTACTGCCGGCTAACTACCAGGAGATGCTGCAACAGGGCAATCATACAATCGCCGCGGTTCTGACTGGCGGAAACCGAGATGAAAATGGTGCGACCCCGAACCCCGGAATGACGGTCGAGAGTTATACGCGCCAGAATCAGTACGAGTTTGGCAGCGTCGGCCTGGCCGCTGAGTTCTTCCGACTATATCCTGCAGGGAACAGTAACAGCAGCGCCGATGCCGCCAGCAATACCTTCTATCAGGACCAGGCCCGCATCTCCCTCTGGCAGTGGGCCAATGAGTATCAGGCCGGAGTCGCGCGCAACACCTCGGGCAACAGTACTGTCAGCACCTACACCTATTACTGGACCCATGCTCCCCCAGGCCAGGATGAGGGCGCGTACCACATGAGTGAAATCAACTATGCGTTCAACAACTTGTATGCGACTGACAAGCCTTGGAAGCCTGAGGACTATGCAATCGCCGACCGGCTGTCCGACTATTGGGTAAACTTCCTGCACTCTGGAAATCCCAATGGCCCAGAGCTGCCCAACTGGCCAGCCAACGGTGCTGCTGAGCCAGTGGTGATGGAATTAGGCGACGCGTGGGAGCCAGTCTTGGTGGCTTCCGCCGAGAAGCGGTCTTTCATGAACAAGTGGTTCAGTAATTGGCCGGTGTATTGAGCGAGCTAGGCTGGTGTCAAGACTCGGATCTGCTGCAATGGTACATGAGTGGGGCTCCGGACTTGATCGTTACATAGTTAGGCGAAATATGATAGGATCGAGGGCAACCTTTCATCGGATATATATTAATGTTGACAGGAACAGGCCTTGCGGAGGCTGCAAATTCTCGCGTAAAATTGATACTACTAGTTTTGGATGAAAAGGTGTACATAGTGATCAGAGGTAGCGGATGTTTGCATGTCGCGTAAGGCGAGGATTCAGCATATAATCTATCATCCCTTGTCGTCGTCTGATCTCGTTACGTCCTGTTGCAGCAACCCTGACATACACTTCTGGTGGTCCGTCAGGAACATCTTTAATCCGCACCTGTACAGTAAGCTCACCGGCACTAACGTAACCGGACAACGAAGCGGCGCGACAACGAGCCGGCGCGGCAACCCTCACCGCTTCGAACCCCCACACAACACACGTATTCAACCTTGCTCAATTCGGTCAAAATTGAAGCTATTCATTCAAAATTGAAGCTATTCAAACGCATGAAGGGTCTTTCTCGAGATAGGAGACTAGCACTTGCCTGCGAGGCCTTCAATCGCGGTCAATTTGCTACCAAAAAGGCGTGTGCTGCAGTATTTGATGTCAAGATAAGCACTTTGAAAGATCGTTTGAATGGCGTCAAGCCTCGCACTGAAATAGAGGCAAATTTAAGGAAGCTATCTAACAATGATGAATTAGTCTTGAAGCGCAGGATCCTTGAATTAGATTCACGAGGCTATCCGCTTACCATTACTAAAGTACGATATCTTGCAGAGGTCCTTTTAGCATCGAAATCGAAGTCAAAAGACACCTTTATCAGTGAACGCTGGGTCAATCGATTCGTTCAACGTCACCAGGCTGAATTGAAGTCTAAATATACTCAACGTTTTGATTATCAACGTGCGAAGTGCGAGGATGTCGAGATCATAAGTCAGTGGTTCAGATTAGTGCAGAATACCATACAAAAATATGGTACTCTTGAACACGATACTTATAATATAGACGAAACGGGTTTTCAAATGGGAATAGCATCAACTGCAAAGGTTGTCTGCGGTACTGAATGACGTCAAACAAATGCAAGGTCTATACAACCTGGAAATCGTGAATGGGTTCGATCATCACAATCAGTGCTGGAGGGAGTGTACTACCTCCACAGATTATCTTTGCAGGCAAGATGCAGCAAGAGAAGTGGTTTGAAGCTATTCCCAATGACTGGCGGATCAGTGTCAGTGATAACGGATGGACAAATGATAAACTTGCATTTGACTGGCTTCAATACTTTGATGCATATACAGCCTCAAAAATAATGGACCAGTATCATCTCCTTATCCTTGATAGCCATGGAAGCCATTCAACTATTGAATTCGACTAATATTACAAAGAAAGATTAATTATTCCTCTATACATGCCGCCTTATTCTTCCCATAAACTTCAACCGCTCGATGTCACTTGTTTTGCACCGCTAAAGACCCTGTACAGCTGTCGAATCAAAGATGCTGCTGATTAAGGCATCTACCATATACAGAAAGAAGACTTCTTATATCATTTTAAAAAGGTGTATTCGAAAGCGTTTAATACAGTAAATATAAAGCAAGGTTTTGCTGCAACAGGGCTTTCTCCGTATAACTCTCAAAGAGTGCTTCAATATCTCAAAGATTCAAATCAAACACCTCCACCACCTTCGACATCATCATCTAATCAATCTATGTATCTCGGTAAAACGCCTTTGACTCTTTATCAACTGAATCATTAAAAAGCGGAGATTGAAACACTACAGGAAGCTGGGTTATCATCGCTTATAGCTGATCAAGCACTTGAAAAGGTCTATAAAGGTGCAGAAATGGCAATGCAGAATGCTGTACTGCTTCAACAGGAACTGGATCAACTCCGTGCAGTAGATCAATATAGAAAGAACAAGAATAAGGCCTCGAAACGCTTTCTACAAGAAGGAGGCACGTTAGATGGCTCTACTGCACGTCATATTGCTCAGAAGAAGGATGTTGAAGCTATACAGATAACAAAACACGCTTAACGTCGGCTACCACGCTGCAGTAACTGCAATAAGGAAGGCCATAATCGCCTCAAATGTCCAGATAAAGTCAACGCCTAGTTTGCTTGAATATAAATCGTTTATATAGCATTCAATTGCTTCAATTTGAAGCGATCGTTGCAATATGGTAGGCAGAATGGTGGCTTGTTTGAAGCGTTGGGGATCGCCGCGCCGGCTCGTTGTCGCGCCGCTTCGTTGTCCGATTACGTTAGTGAGCCTTGGTTAGTCTACCAGACCGGCAGCCAACGGCGCGATCTTGCGTCAACTAATCACTATACCCATTGAACACTGGATGTTCAAATCTGCGACAAACTATACGTTTCACTTGTTAACCCGAATTGCTTGTATATAAGGTTTTGCGCTCCGTTTTGACTCCATTATTATCACTAAAAGTCGAGGAGAGATGAACAAAACACCATCATCTACAACCAACATCGTCCGGCGAGCTAAAGTGAGTTCGGTCAATCTCAAACTATATATTAACTAGCTAATTGGTACACCTAAGGCATGTAATACCTGTCGGCGTAAAAAGGTCAAATGTGATGGAAAGCGACCTATTTGTTCACCTTGCCACGCATTCAATCTATCTTGCGGGTATCAAGATGTCATGGACCGCCGGAAACGCGAGAGTCGGTAAGTGCTAGGCTCTCCTACCCAAGAAATAGCTACCATTTGTAGCAGATGACTGATGGGAGTAGGTCATATGTTGAACAGCTAGAGAAGCGAATTGAAAAAATGCAGGAGCAATTGGAGAGTTTGACTAGATCTGGAACTCAAATCCAGCGAGGCGTGGAGAATACCCGACGTTCAACTTCGCCGGGCTCGTCAGTCGAGAGCAATACTAATTACGGGGATCCAGAAGACCCGACAGACGGAGACAATATTCCTGAAATGCCTCAGGTACCATCTGATAAGGGTCCTCACCCTCCCGTTGAGAACGATCAATCTATTGTCATCGACGCACAGGACGGGAAAATGCGCTATTTTGGTAGGTCGCAACATCGTCGTCTGATTTGCGCCCCAGTTATTGATAGAGCTTAGGGGCTTCGTCTGCATTTTCTGCACTAACAAATGCCGAATTAAATGGGCTAGAGGCACAGCCGGATATTGGGGTCTGGCGACGCGCACCTCAAAGAAGTGCTAACCCATGGCAACTTTCAAGCTGGATTCCTCAAATTCTTCGAGATGGCCTTGAACGGCGCATTTTCGAACCTCTACCATGTAAGGACACAACTGTCCAACTAGCGCGAGAGTACTTTGCAACCTTTAACCAAGCACTTCCTCTTCTTGAGGAGGCCTCGTTCATGAAGTCCGTCGACAGACAATACTCATGGAATCCCGATAATAGTGCGTCATGGTGGATCTCTCTCAACATTGCTCTGGCCATATCATACAGAGAAAGGGCGCATGCATCTTCTGATGCTAGTGACAACTGGAAAAAGTCGTTGGGACATGTTAAGAATGCCTTGAACGCTGTCGTTGACGTCTTCCTCCAAAACACTGACATTGCCGCCGTGCAGGGCCTCTTAGGTCTGGCGCTTTATTTTCAGGGTACACCTAACCCACAAGCCCTACTTATGTTTGCGGCAGCAGCAATGCGTCTGGCCCAGTCAATAGGACTGCATAGAGAAAATGGCTCTGGAGCTTCACCCGAGGCGGAGCACAGGCGAAGGGTGTACTGGATCGCTTTCATACTTGACTCGGACATTTCCATCCGGGTGGGCCGCCCGCCGGTCCAGGATCTCGAAGACTATGATACACATTTACCGACAGAGAATCCACCTGACGGCAGGGGCGTACTAACGATTGACGGTACTAGAATGAATTACTTCCGTCTCCTTGCTCAACTAGCGCAGATTCAGCGGCTTGTTTATAGGAAGCTTTACACGGTGACTGTTCGTCGAGAATCGAGTGAAGATGTTATTGAGAGAATTAAGTCTTGTGAAGACGCGCTGTTGAGCTGGAAGAAGACCTTACATTCGAGACTTCAACCCCAGCGCAGATTTACCTGTAAACCAACTTATTTCCTGCAACATGTCCTTCGATTACATTTCGCATATAATTGTTGTCACTCAAACCTTTATCAGGTGTGTGTGTTTCAAGCAAACGCTATCGAGCGGTCTAGGCAGGGAACGGATGAGGGTATTGCGCCAATTGTTTCACGCTCACTCGACGCAGCACGTTCTGCATTGGATCTACTATCACATGTACCTTCGCTTGGCTCTACCTACAAGTGGTGAGTACTTATCGACGTCTCCAAGGGGCTTACGCTGATTTTGACCTCTGAAGGAACATCATTTACTTTCCAGCGGCAGCATGTGTGCCTCTTGCCTTAAGGATACTCGCACAACCTGCACATTCAGATGCTGGGGACGATCTTTCAGTGGTCCAGGATGTCATTAAATTTCTCACATGTACTTCTTCCGAGGAGCCTAATACATACGTCGACTTTGTATTGGGCATGTGCTCTGACTTAGAGCGTTCTGCTAGGAGGGCCTTCTTGACGGCGCAACCTGCCCGCAACCACCATCCAGCAGTTATACAGAACAACGAAAATGACAGGCCTAGTATATCTAGCCTTGGGATCAATCAAACCTCAGCCCCTAATATTTCCGACGCGTTACCGACTCCTTTTGGTAGCGCTTCTGCGGCAAATATGGGAAGCGCTCAGTTTACGAATGTAACGCCACAGGGGCCCTACCCAGATATTGGTTTTCTGGGGCCTTTCAACGACGTTGATCAGGCCGCTAACTGGCAGTGGTCCCTACCACCATTTTGGAACTGGCAGGATCTTCTTTCAGGTGCGCCTTCGTTTCCGGTCGTTCCGGGAGTGGATGTACCTGAGGCCAATATGCCAGATACTTGAGACGTGATTGCTTGACACAGAAACTATATACAAATCTCCATACTCCGGATTATCTCAAAACCAATTGATGTGCCTACCATGATGGCAGTGCGGGACAGGAGGAGAAGTCCATCTTGGCGTCGACTCCTCAAGACCTAACTTTGCAACAGGCTTCAAGAGAGTCTGGCGGCCCCATGGTCCTGGCTCCTTGAATGTCGTCATGAACCTGGAGTCCTCATCCAAATCATGAGGCAATCCTCGTTTCCAACCGTCAATGACTGGGATCAGGACTTCGGAAACGTACTGATCAGGAGTAATTCCCTTGAACCCAAATCGTTCGACCGTGTCTCGTACCACCTCAGGGGGGTATAATCCTACTTCCTTCTCCAATGCAACTGCATCAGCAGCAACCAGGGAGCTAGTGATGTGATATGAGCCGCCTTCAACTGCCCGTCTCTTTACCGCAATCATGGCGCCAACCGCACCGACAATTCCCGTTATCATATCAGACACAGGGAGTGGCGGCAATACACTCTTTCCTTCCTCATAGCCCTGTGATCGGCCCATTACATATTCACTTCCAGATGCCGCATCTCCGATCTGCTGCCAACCAGGACGCTCGTGGAACGGGCCATCTGGACCGTAACAGTTCTCGTCGACATAGATGATTCCCTTGTTCCTTTTAGCTGCTATCTCCAGCATGTTGCGGAGCCCCAGCCCTTTACGCTCCAAGGAACCCATTCGGAACCCTTGGATGAAGATATCAACATCTGCAAGAAGCTCTTGCAGTCGTTCCATGTCTTCCGGCTTGGTGATATCGAGGTCAATAGTTCGCTTTCCCGCATTCAGCGTGAGCTGAAGTGCCTAGAACCCAAGAATCTATTAGTAGCCTTTCACACGACGCTGGATCAAGGCAAACATACGTTAAGGTCAACTAATCTGCTACAATTCACACGGATCACGTCCGCCCCGTAGGATGCCAAGGTAACGCCGATCTGTGGTCCAGCAATGATACGTACCATCTCCAGGACCTTAATCCCGGCAAGTGGCCGCTTGTCAGATAGACCCTTAACTAGAGGGATTGGAGGTGTAGGCTTTGCATATGTCTCGGCCGTCACATTGACCAAGGGGTGTCTGGACAGGCGTTTACCAAACTCCGTCTTCCTCCAGCCCTCCGGAGAGTAGCAGATGCTTCCACACAGACCATGGCGCACGTTGTGCATTTCAAGCTCATCGGGCGACCACTTGATGATATGCCCTTGGATATAGTCATAGTATTGTTGGGGTGTGCTGAAAGTCACATCAGGGTTGATTCCCATTGTCCGAAGAGCAGCGTTTGCGTCGAGTGAACCATGAAGCTGGTACCACACTTTGGGATCTTTTGTTTGGTAAATAGCAGTTGCCCGACTTGCTATCCCCTTGCCGAAGCCTTGTTCATAATTCCGTTCGAAGAGTGAACTCAACTTCCCCGACCGTGCCAGGGCGGATACATCGGAACCATTGATGTACGTGGTGAACACAGATCCGAGCCAAATGCCTGCATGGTCAGTATTGATTGTCACACTATTATCTGTCGCGGGATTCCCATCACGCAGCTCAAGGAGCTCATTAGCCACTACGCCTCCCATGGCATGAAGCGCAGCTGCCATGACGGGTGATTTGATCGGACCTTGAACCATAGGCTCAGGTCGCCCTTCGAAGTGGGCGGTATCCCATAGTACTTTGTTCTGGGTAAATCCAGGGGTTCGAGAGGCGAGAAGCTCGAACACCCGACGAGCATCTACAGGCACTGGAAGCACAGTCTTGTCGATGAAAGTGCCGGGTCCGTATACCTCCGTACCGGGAACGGTTTCGTGGGCCAGTGTCATTGTTGATTAGACTTATGACGATATTATCAGAGTATGGGCAAAAGAAGTAGATAAGAAATGTATTTCACGATAGAATGAAGAAGACAACACAGCGACGCGACACTACCCCTTGCGTTAGCTGTCATATTCATATAGGAGACAAAGAATGGGCCCGGGCATTTTGGCTCCACGGCCCGCGGGGTTCCAAGTCCGAGGTCCACGGCACAGCTACCAACAAACTGGAAATGATCTACTGACTCATGACGTTTGAAAGGGGTTCTGATTGACTAATGGACACCTAATTCACTATACTGCTGCATAAGTTGGATACAGTCTGGATAACCGTGCCATACCTGGTGAGGGGTCTTGCCACGGGCCACGGGGACCCAAAGGATGAAAGTCAATCATAGCCTTTTAGGGATACAGACACCACGAAGCAAAGGGATACTACTGGTCCACTCGGATCGAAGGGTCCATGCTCAACATCCTTGACCTAGGAGCTGTTCACTATTCGACGACGCAATTCTTTGTCCAGTTACCTGAATATCCGAACAATGGCCGAGGTACGGGAACTTGGTATATAAGGCGCGGTTCATGTATACCAAGAAATGCGGGGATTGTGTCTATCAATCTTCATAGACTGTTTTGAGCGACTACTACTGAGGTTGACAACCTGTAATCATGTCTTCTGCAACAGAGACACGCCCTGTTAGGGTCGCCAACTGCTCTGGATATCATGGTAGGCAGCCGACATTCTGCGCGAGATAGTCAGGCTGATGTTGTATGGCAGGCGATCCCGTGTATGAAATGTACCGACAGGCAACATTGGGAGATGTTGATTTTATAACGGGTGATTATCTTGCAGGTAAGCCATACTTCTCTTACTTCTACGAAACAACTGCGGTTCTAAGCTCGAGTGTGTAGAAGTCAATCTTGCGAACAATGCCCAGGCATGGCGAGAAGGAAAGCATCCTGGATATGAAGCTACTGCCTGGGAAGGACTTCAGCAGACCATCGAAGTGATTGCGCAGAAGCGTATCCGAGTGGTCATCAACGGTGGTGCTTTGGATCCTAAAGCTCTTGCACTGAAGATCCAGGCTCTGGTAGGCCGCACTACTTCTGTATACTAAAGTTTGACGAACATACTAACACAGCTGGCTATTCCATAGGTCTCTGAGAAAAAGCTTGATCTCCGTGTTGCGTACCTCTCAGGCGATGACTTGTATGACCGTGTTGGGCCAAACATGCCAGCTACTAAAGAAGAGCTGACCCATCTTGACGCGGGGAACTCAGATGTGGTGCCTTCAGATCTCACTTACGCATTCCTGAACACACCAGACGGGAAGCCAGTCCCAATGGTATCTGCACATGCATACTTGGGTGCCCGTGGTATCGTGGATGGCCTGCGCCGAGGCGCCGATATCATCATCTGTGGCCGCGTTGCGGACGCTAGCCCTGTTATCGCTGCAGCATGGTACTGGCATAACTGGTCAGAGAAAGACTACGACAAGCTTGCCGGATCGCTGATTGCTGGTCATTTGATCGAGTGTTCTGCGTATGTGACTGGTGCCAATTTTGCTGGGTTTGAAAGATACCCTCTGGATGATCTTGTTGCTCCAGGGTTTCCTATCGCTGAGATTGCTGCGGATGGCACATGCGTTATCACGAAGCACCCAAACACCCAGGGTATCGTGAACTCGGAGACTGTTTGCAGTCAATTCCTGTATGAACTGCAGGGGAATATCTATCTCAATAGTGACGTGAGTGCTTATATCGGCGATGTTGCGGTCAAAGACGTGGGGAAAGATAGGTAAGTATCTTTGACGCGATTATTTTTGATCAGCGAACATATCTAATAACAGTAAAATGAATAAAGGGTGTATGTGTCGGGTATTCGAGGATCACCTCCACCCCCGACGACCAAGCTTGCTGTCTTCTACCGAGGAGGATACGAAGCCCAACTTCTGCTCAATGCAACTGGGTATGCTACGGATAAGAAGTGGGATCTTTTTGAGCGGCAGATGCGTCATTTTCTTCCTGAAGAAGTCAAGAAAAGTTTGGAGACTTTGGAGTTTCAGAGGTACGACTTGTCCTTCCCCTGCTCGTTCACTGCTTAACATTCGTAGAATTGGAACACCTGCAGCCAACCCAGCCTTCCAGGCCGAAAGTACTACATATCTGCGTGTATTCGTGGCATCGCAGTTAGAAAGCGCTGTTCTGGCTGTAGCAAAGGCTCTGAAGGATATCTCTCTCAAGCATTTCTCCGGTACGTGGCCCAATGTGTTCTCTTTCATCTAATCATCCCTATATAGACTGCAACCATCTAATGCGAAGAGTTAATATGCAGGCTTTCATGCATCACTGGACACTCGAACAGCCCTTCCCCTACCGTTCCTCGCCTACTACCCAGCACTGATAAAGCAATCCGAGATTCACGAGACAATAAATCTGATAGACACATCCAACAACATCAGCTCATATGATACCGGCCATCCCCCACAATATCAAGACCTCAAGCCCCGGGAGAATTACGACCCAGCAGAACCACAAGTGTTCAAAAGTCCCACTAAGAAACTCCGCTTGGGAGACATTGCTCTCGGACGTTCAGGCGATAAGGGCGGAAATCTTAACTGTGGGCTTTTCGTCACGAACCCCAAGCACTGGGCCTGGCTTCGATCATATTTGACCAGAGATCGAATGCGAGAGCTCATCGGTAAGGATTGGAATGATAGCTTCTTCATTGAGCGCGTCGAGTTTCCGAATATCATGGCTGTGCACTTTGTCATCTATGGGATTCTGGGACGGGGCGTGAGTAGTTCGAGTAGGCTTGATGGGTTTGGGAAGGGGTTTGTTGACTATATCCGGGACAAGGTGGTGGATGTTCCTGTGGAGATTTTGGGATGATGTCGTATGGGAACATGCTTTTTCTCTGTGCATGTTTGTCTATCCTATAGTGTGTTTGTTCTTGAGATAGGGCATTACGAAGTCATTCACCACAGTAGGAGCCAATCAATATATCGAGACCGAAAATGATGAGTTTTTGTATTTTGCACTTTGGTAATTTTCTGTATAATCAACTGATTAGTATACTCGCAGATAAAATATACTGTCAACTATAGAAGCTTAGGGGCTTAGATTTGTTAGAAGAAAAGGGCTGTATTATATATTGGCTGTTCTATATAAACACAAATAGTCTATACCAATGCCGATAAGGCGATTAAAGTCCGGAAGGACCAAGTTCGGTACCGTTCTTGAGAACCACAGGGTTGCTGGAGTACATGACACCAACCATACGGGCCCACTTGTCTTCGCTGGGGTTTCTCCAACTGTGAGTGGTAGCGCGCTGGATGACCATGTCACCCGGCTTCTGAATGCGCTTCTCGCCAGACTCGAGAGTCAATTCGATCTCGCCTGCGACCTGAATGACGACGTCGAAGCTAAGGGTGCGGTGGGAAGGACTGCCTTTACCGGGAGGGGTGTCGATGTACCAGATCATGCCACGACCATTAGGGAGGGTGACAGGAGGCACGCTGGCAGTCTCCAGGTACTCCGTGTAGTTGGTGAGATCAGTGCCATCGAGCGTGTTGGGGGTCTTGTCAGTGATGTATCCTAAACGGAACAAGGAACCTCCGAGATCCTGTTTGACGGCGAGGCTTTCGTCCAGCGTCGTGTTGAAATGAGAGATGCCAGTCTCGAGATCGGTGTCGGTGATGACACGCTGGGGGTTGGGGAGTGGCTCTGGAGTCGACATGGCTGTAAAGGAACTGACTGCAGGGACGACAATGTAATCAGATAATTGGGTGCCATTTGAGGTTTATGTGATTTTCTTAGGTAAAACCATGCTGTATATTGTCTCCGTGTGTCTGGGAACTTACATTTATTCGTGTTTTTATACCAGGGCTCTTTCGCTGCAAGGATTTGGCTTCGTTTGGCTAGACTGAGACTACGCCTGAATTAGCAAAGGGAACGAGTCGAAGTAGACTGGGGCCGAAACGAGAAAGAGAGAGAGAGGCTCATGAGATAAGCATACCAAGACCAAGCCTTGTAAGGGTGATATTGAGAAGGAAGCAGCTTATGAAAGTGGCGCGCGAGGCTGAGCATCGTAGGCGGCAAGAGAGTCAAGAAGGTCAACGACACGAGGCCGATTTTATAAGCGGGGACCAGTCTCTCTCATTAGAATGAGACAAAATACCGCAAATCCTCGTCCGACGGAGAAACGAAAGGCACCCTCAAGGGCTCAAAGGATTAGAGCGGGGCGGGCGCAGTGAGAACATCCACAGCGGCATCGTCCGCCGCCAAAATGACCAGCCCTAAATAGACTCATGCTTGGTCCAATCAAAAACTAGCCATGGGTGGTTTTCATCCGGTCGGTATCCCTGCGTCTTGAGGTCAGTGCAGTGGAGATGTTGAACTGGCAAGTATTTGATTGGCTCCAATCCGCTTTTATCGGCTCGAATGAGCCGACCGATTGCCAGCTACTGGTTGGTGTCCTCGGATGCAACCAGTGATGTACTTTGCGGGATAATCAGGGGAACAGCCTTGTGTATCAGGTGGACTGACATGTAGCCTCTTCTCGGAGACTCGGGCTAAGCTAAGTGCTAACGCCGACCGATATCTCCACCATCCTAGTGTCTGACTGTTGCCACCAATTACCATGTCGAGTGTGGTTCATCCGGCTCCAAACACCCAGCCAATGCACGAGGGCCACTAGAGGCGAAGAGAAAGAAGGCTGGTGTACATAATGAAACCGACTTCAAGGTCCGGTTGACTGGCGGGATCCCACTATACCCCTGAGAGCACTAACTAGATATTATCAATACAAAATAGTAAAATTTCTGTTGCCTGATGATCCCTGTTGACCTCCGTAGCTTTGTCAATGAATGAAAGATCCGCCGACGACTTGCGAATTGTAATCATCGACTGCTGTCTCGGCTTGCTAAGTACTCAGGTTTAGTGTGATGATATCCATTACTTGTCTACGGACCACACGCATTATACAGCTATCATCCAGGGAAGATAACCCTATCTACAATATCACGCAAATAAGGTTTCAATAATGAATGTTGTGTCCAACTGTATCTTTGGTTTTTTGTGATCGAACTTTCACTAATTCCGATATGGGCGCTTTGGTCGTTGCTTTCTCTTGATCACGCCGTGCAAGAAACCATCTAGTAGGCACTAAGCCCTGAACAGGCTATAAACTACCTACGGATACCTCAACATGCAGCATGGTACACTACCCATGAGTCCATGCCCTATCGCCCATAATACTGTGACGGTAGATCGACGTGCTGTTGCGCCAATGAGGACAATACGCAACAAAATGAGCATGTACTTACGAGGAGCTGCTATGGGAAGGCACATATAGAGGTCGAGAATGTTTTTATAAAGCCATAAACCTCGCAAGTTGCTCTCATTGAGACAGGGCTTAATGACGTGGTGTTAGTGGGGCTTCACAGACTCTTTCTGCTTGGGACTCGTGAATACCTCATTCCTCATCCAATAAGTTCGCTCTTATTTACGCTACATTCAGTCGCGTCTGCATCCGGTAGTCTCATGGTTTCCCTCGGCTGGATTGTGATATGTTGCCGCGTAATGCGTCCAGGAGGAAGAGTCCCCGGTTCCCCTAAATGTCAGATAATTTAACGTGGCCCTTTTGTGTCGATGTTTCGGCACAGAATAACGAGGGCTCCTAACAGGAGAGCTTTAAGAGAAGAAAAAAAAATTTCATTTCATCTTTCTTCAGCTTGAATGCCTCGTCAAACTATCTCAGGCTATATCTACCACTCAAACACCAAATTTCCCTTACCCGAGTCAAACTTCGCCTCCCACCCATACCTCCCCTTCGTCAGTCCATCAGTCTGTAATTGAATCCCCTTTGCGCCAGCCACTGAAGTAACAGAATACCCCACCGCCGCCCTCGTAGCAGGCACCCCCTCGGACCCATCAGCCCGATCAACCAAATCAAACTCGACCTTGTTCTCACCATACAAGACCCTCACCTCCTCAATAGCACCCGCATCAATCGAAACATCCAGCCCCAGATCCGCCAGATACACCCTCCTCCGAACAGTATCGCGTGGCTGCACTGTGACAGCATCATTCGAAGAAGATGAATCGACATTCCCTCCGAAACTTACCCATCCAAATTCAGGATGCTTCAACAGAACAGTCAGAGCACCCAGGACTTGGCCTAGAAACCCGGGTCCATAGTCACCGGTATAGTCATCCCATGCCAATGTCTCTGGGAATGAGTGGAACGACATGGACCCGAAGCCGTCGGACGCGACGTTGGTCATTGGACCTTGGTTACCTCCGTAGCCGATGCGGAGGTCGTAGAGACTGGATTGGCTTGTTGGGTTTGTGAGTGAGCGGTAGTTATCGAGCATGGGGAGGGCGTTGAGACTGGATCCGTAGTGGTGGATTTGGCGCTCGATGCGGGAGAGCTTTCCTGCTGTTCTGTTATTTGTTAGTGTGGTAGAGTCTGATTGAGAGGGGGGAATTATACGTAAAGTCCCAGTATCGCCGGGCGTTGCCATTCCAGCCCCAGTGGCCTACTGTTGGCATGTACCCTCTGATTGAGGCGATGGTTTTTTGTGCGGTGGATGTGTAGTTAAAGTATCTATAGACAGGAGTTAGTTAATTGTTGGAGGGGATCAGGTGGTGTGGACGTACTTGGACCACAGATAGACGCCCTCCTGTCCTGTACAATCCCAGGCTTGCTCGCTACCGAAAGGATCTTCTTGCGTGGACCACGCTTTGGCACGGCCGCGCATGATATCTTCCATCTTTGTTGCTTCTGTCGTGTAATTCTCGGCTTTGAGATCGTTAAGCAAGTACATCCACATTGTTTCTCCCATTAACCCAAGGTCACCATAGTAAGTGTTCTGGCTTCCGTCAGGTTGGGCTCCAAATGTGAATAGTACACTATCGCACATATTAGTATGACCACATTCCCAAACTTTAAGGGATAGATACTCACGTTTTGTAAGCCTGCAACAAGTACCACTTCGGTGGCCGTAGGGTCAAAACACTAGGGGCGATCCGACCAGCACGGTACAAACCCCAATATAGACAAGAAACGTGGACGTAGTCATACGCTCTATCAATCAGATAAGCAGCTTCCTTATCCCAGCTCCCGGTCCAATAGATATCAGGATCGTATTCATAATCTGGCATGACGTCGGGATCGTAAAAGAATAAGCTTTTCCGAACACCGTACTCTGTGGATCCGTTGGTCAACTGCAATCGCGACCAAACAGTTTCATTGACGAACTGTTCCAGCTTGGAAATCTCAGATGCAACAGGCTGTATTGTTTGCTTCATTGCAGCAACAACAAAGGATCCCGCACCTCCTTCGTCGCTCAAGCCTGCTATCCAGACACGATTGTCCTGTAGTACTGGGCCGTTCACGGAGCGGTCGTGTGTGATTATGGAAGGGGCGCGGCCGAATGGATCCGAAGTATCGGTATACCACTGGTTTTCTTCCAGAAAATGGCCTGCATTGGATAGAGTACTGGGCCCAGCATCGGTGATGTAGTAGTGTAAGGTATGCTTCAAGCCCGTGTCATACACGATTTCGACTCTGCATCTGCCGAACGTGTCCTTGCTCGGTACCAGCTTGTACCCTGACCAGGCACTGCTGCTAAGCTTTAAGGATGTAGCCGAAAGACATCCATCCGGTGAAACATTCACAGAATCAGCCTTAAGCGTCGTATTGACAAACAATCGCCCCTCAAGATCCTGAGTCAACACATATCCCGGAATGCCAACAGCAACCGGATGTCCAAGCGAAGAAACACTAGGTTCGATCTCATCGACACTCGAAACAGCCGTAAATCGTAGGCCGAAAGAGATTGATTCGCCTGGCGACAATTTCAACGATGTTGGCGGATTCCATGGCT